AAATTTAATGATTTGACATGATTTTGTTAAATAGAAATTTATAAAGCATTAACAAAAACTAGAAACTTTGATTTGATAACTGATAATTATAATAGTTGAATTGAATACAATTTATTTAAAAAGGGTATATTTCTCCCATTATGAATATAATTAACCAGAAAGTTGAAAATCATATTGAAAAAGAATGAAATTTGCTTTTTCATATTTAAGGTTTTTTTTCTGAAAGTAATGCACTATGATATTAAACTTTCAGTCCTATCAAATACATTGATTCCATGTTACCTAAATTCTATATTACCCAAATATACTCATTCTAAGGGCTTCTTACGTTTTAAATCTGTTTGAAATGCAAACCCATATAAAACAAACACACAAGTATCTTAAGCTGACGTTTCCCATGTCATAACCACCTCACAAAATGGAAATAAACAAATAAAATCTCTCAAAGATTTTATTTATCTCACACTTTGATAATTCTCTCAAAGTGTGTATACAGTCCAAGACTGAGCATGCATGTATGTGTGAGGCTGGAGGGTAGGTTTAACCTACACCCTTAAATAACAGCATCATATCATTTAGTCCTGTTTGAATGGCTAACCTTCAAGTTTCTGGTTTTCTTTTTCCATTCGAAGCAACAAGATTTGTTGGTGGATAGCTTTTCTCCACAAACTCCTCAGTTCCTTTGATTTCTTTTTTTCTTCCATCTTTTCTGGGTCATCGTCACCAGCCAGGAATATAACCAGCGGTTCCTCCTCCATGGTTGGAGCAAGAGGGGACAGTGGCAGCAGCTCATTCCTGTCCAGTCCATCTGCGTAGAAGAAAACAGTGAGAGGCATTCCTTAGCAGCCGCCAGACTACAGAAGTTTCTCTAGAACTGACACTCTCTCATCTTATCTTCCACACTTAAAGGTTTTCACAAAGCTACTTTCCCAGCAGCTATTAGTTTCTAGAACAAATGTTTAAAGTAAATTCGCTAGACTGAATTCCCCTTCCAGATTTCCCTCTCATGGTGAAATGAAAGCACAGGTCATTTCACCACTTCTTCTTTCTACCCAAAAAAGATCTGTAAGATAGGTGCTCCAAAATAAATTGGCCTATCCCCTGAGTCCAGCACTTCTGCAATTTACTTACGTATGTTCTCTGGCTGTGCAAAACAAGATGACTAAGTGGGTAGGTTTTAGTGATCTCCTAAGGTCTACATCTACCATCAGAACTCATCAGAAGCAAAGCAGCTGGGCACCTCCGGGTCTCTCCTGGCTGAGGCCAGCACTCCCTCTGCTCCTTCCTCCTGCAACACACCCTCTTAACTGCTCTCCAGGTGCTCATTCTCTCCTTTGTTCCAGGCCATCCTTCACACTATTGCCACTTATTTTCCTATTAACAAACATAATCACATCCCTTAAACCACTTCAATGATTGCTTCCATCACAGAAAACAAAGTGCAGACTACTGGGAATAGCATAGAAATCCCTTCAGATTCTGGCCTCAGGAAAACTTTTCAGCCTCATGTCTCAATCTCCTATCCTGTGTGCCCACCCACCATGTTGAACGTCTCATGATTCTCTGATTTGCAAAATTTGTTCAAATGACTCTAGAGCTTTGCCATTCCTTCTTTCTAAACATGGTTCTCCCAGCAATGTGTTTAAGCAACTATCAAATTGTTCTTTGAAGCATTCTCTGACTACCCTAGACAGAGTTAATTTCATCTTTAGTAATGCCAATTGTCTTCTTTTTTTTTTTTTTATTCATTGACCTCTGGCCTTACACTTATTACTTACTTCCTTATGATTTGTTGTTTTTGTTGTTTTAAAATCTTACTCTCCGGCTCCACTTCTAGCTTCTTCAGTTGAACATTCAGTACAATTGATTTGGAGCCTTCATAGTGTTAGATAAATGCATTCATGGCTATTCACTGCCCTGCAAATCCACTCAATTTTGATATGTAGGGCTCTGATCTTTGCATTTTCCTCCTCTTAGTTTCTAAGAGTATAATGTTCAGCTCTTAAACACATATCGTTTTTTTAACTGTTCTCTAATTCTTGATTTCTTTTCTTGGCACTATGGTCAGAGAATATTAGTATAAATGATCATGATTAACTGGAATTTATTTAAAAATCTTAATTACATCTTATGAATGTTCCAAGTGTACTAAAAATGAATGCGTTTTC